AAGAAATAATGCTATATACATATATATGTATATCAAAATGAAGTTTAAAAAAGTATGCTTAGGCCGAAATAAAAAATACCTTTGTTTCCCCTAACGCGACCGACCCAATTAAAACGCGCCGACTGGAAAGTTTTTCTCATAAGATTATTCCAATATTTTTTTTATGTGTATCAACTTTTATAAAATAGAATTCCATCAAAATCCGTTTTTATCAGAACGACTGATTTTGTTCTGTGATTTTCAAGCGTTTGTTGGAAACAAAATGGCACCCACAACATGTCTCGGTCACGGAGGGTTAGTTCATGTTTTAAAAGAAAGACGACGTATCAACCTTATGCGTTTAGTATATAAGAATCCTACACTCTTGAAACACGTTGTTAATAAAATAAAATATACAATGACCTATTAAGCGTGTTTCGGTTGTATTTACCATCTGTCGTAAAATGAAGTACGTAGAGATCATGCTTAGCCCCGTAGGCTCTCCTCATGATACCCTTCATGAACAAACCAATCAATTTCACTGCATTTTATTTAATTTGTGTTTTGATCTTATAAACAGTTCATCAATATTTCTTTGTTTAATACATGTATATGGGACCATAAGAGTTATAAATAAGTCTGCATATTTCATCCTAATGAATAGAATTCAAACGTCCTTTCTTTATGTCTTTTATTCATAGGTTAAACGTCATGACTTTGACATTGTGTATGTCATTTTATCATTTTTAGTTATAAGTTGTCTCAATTAAATATAGTTAACATACTTTTTCCAAATAGATTTGAAATTATGATGCAAGCTTCCTAAGACGTCCGTGTATTTTTCTTTAATAAGGCCCTTGAATTCAAGATTGGTTGTTTCTTTGATTTTAATTCCTTTGATAATTATTGGGACAACAACATTTATTTGAACATATGTCTGGTGAAGGGCTCAAAACTTAGACTTGTAACGGGAATTTTAGGCCATTGAGCAGTGAGGGATCTTTTTCGTGTTAGTATCTACTGCGACACAGGACCCAAGTTTTTATGGTCTCTTTCGAAGAACCGGTTTCAACGTCCCGCATTGGGTTTTGAACCCGTAACTTAGAAAATAGCTCCTTACTTCGAGACTCAAAAACGAAATGCTCTAGAATCAATGCACATTTCGAAGCCCTTGAAAAAGTACATTGCATGTATAAGCACTGGAAGCTGATAGTAAGTATGAAAAAATACCCGGATGTCCGGTCTTTGCATACCCGAGAATCTTTTAAACAGATTTATGTATTCAATTTCAACAAATTTACTCTGGTATATGAGACATTTCACAAGTTCGATTGAATTAATTTACCTTAAATGTTAGTCGAAACGGCATTTGTATGGTATTCTAGCTGTTTATAAATGGCTTTCCTTTGTACTTAACTTACTTATAAGGGTATAATTCCATTTAATTTTAAGAATGTATTTTCAAAGCCGCTGTCAAAAAAAAATTATTTGCCTACCTACCTACCCAACTTGAGGTTTATAGGTCGGGTTAGGGGAAACAAAGATATTTTTAATGATGGCCTTAGATTTCTCATTTTAACTTGTTAAATGATATAATAGATTTATATCAGGAGTATCTGTATGGCAGATTAGCCATGTATTTACTCAGCAGAAATCCTTTAGTGACTTGTTAGTTAATAATGTCGACTTGTAAGATGTTATGTAGACTTGTCAGATAATGATGTCTGATCACCAAAAACCACATAGATATTGTCAATCAGAAACTCAAGCATCTTTTTAGCATCAATTTCAGAGTACTTTTTTGTACAATCAGAATGCTTTTTAACAAAATAATTTTGCAAATGACCAATGACAAGGTAAGCATATTTACGAGTTCAATTTTTATTGAAACAGCAGCTGTCCATGATATCAAAAAGCCTGGACTTTAATTTATCGTGGAAAGTATTTGTATAAAGAGTTGAAAAGTCGTATGTTTTGATGTTATTGATTTTGTTAAATTTTGTGATTTCAAATTTTCTAAAAGTTCCATTGCGTTTTTAAGTATCCACATATGATATACACCACTTTTAGAATATATTGTTGTACGGTACTCCTGAAGTTTCTCCTTCACTGCTGTAAACATATTAATGAGGAGTAAAAAAGAGGCTTGGTAGAACATTTACTAGAACCCGCTATGTATACATGTATTTGTATGGATTTTTATGGAGCTTTGGAATCCAGTATAGGTATGGTAATTCAAATTCATATCGATTGCTGGGAATATTTAAAATATTTAAAACTGACAAATGGTTTTGAAAAATTTTTAATAGTAATTCTAAAGATTGTACCAATATCAATTGATATTTCGTATTGCTTTCAATCATTTATGTTAAATAATTTATCGTCGTAATAAAATTGCCATTCCGCCATCAGGCTATTTATATATTCTTAATATTTATCTCTTGCTTTGTTTAACAGACAATAATTAGAATTTATGCATACTTGGCTAAACTAAACCACAAAGTCATTTTTATTTCGTTTTGATACATTAAACAATTTTTTTTCTTTCATTGTTTTTAATGAAATGACCTATTCGTTATAAATAAAAAAAAATGATTTCTTGAAATTCAGAAGTTAGCAAAGGGGAGAAACCGAATCATAAATCCACCTTCTGATTGGTTAATTTAGACCTTAAATCTCGAAATTTAAATTTCGAATTTCGATTCTTCTGGGCTTTCGCAAGCAAGTGTTTACCATTGATGCAGCCAAGCTTGATATGACACAACTCAAGAGGACAGTCACACTCATCATAGCACAGATGGCCGTACTTCGGGGGAACACACACTTTGGAACAATTTATGCCGTATGATCCCAAAGGACAAGCTTGTAAATGGACATATTTATGTTAACGTTGCTTGAGAGATGATGAGTAACACTGAAATGAAATATTTAGACTACATTCTGTACATACCTAGACATTGCTTCTTGTTACTGTTATAGAAGTAGTTTTCACAGCATGGTCCTTTTCCGTTTCCACTACAACAAACATTTAGAAATAACATACTTGATGTACCTTATGCAGATATCTGTACTCTTCACTAATGTTTTCAGTTCAAATATGCAAAGTCCTTTTAATTCAAAGAAGTCTTCGTACAGAAACTTACTGGCTTCTCCATATGAGGAACGTTAAACAACAAAAAAAAAAACAAACAAATAAACAAAAACAGAAACTTACTTTCCACAAAATTGTGAATTTATCCTAAGAATGAATATAAAGAGAGGAACGAAACTGCAATCTTTAAAAGATACATAATAAAGTATAACCATAATGTATACTCCAAATATTCCCAGTATGAGATAATCAATAGAATTTAAATCATTTCCTCATAAAACACTGGTTTAAAATATGTGTACGAATTAATTTAACACGACAGAGAAAAGGGCACCAAGAGTGTTGATTCTAAAAGGAAAATAATTAAATTGTTGTTAGAGTTTTTCTTACTTGTCAGAAAGGTGGTATCCTCTGAGTATGTGCTATGACTCGAATGAAATATGGAGATAACGAACAGCATTAAAGCTTAAAGTCTATTTAAACAACATAAATCGGGAACAGAGCAAACAGGGACCTCCAAAACAATAGAGGTGGGATCAGGTGCCATGGAGGAGTGAGCATCCTCTGCCAGCCGGTCACATCCGCCATGTGCTCCTTGTCATGATCGGGAAAAACGGAAAAATCTGCAGACAATTCAGTGTGTAAATAATGGCCTAACAATTAGTATGAAACGTCAGTCAGCATTTGACTTAATGATAGGTTGCATTTGCTGACAATGTAAATGTATCGACCATAAAACTTGCGAAATGATGACTTCAGACGAGACTATTTATATCTTTGTTTCATCAACTTGTTTGTCAATAGCTTGCCTTGTTTTAGAAATTCTTCAGACATGGAACATGCTCTTGCGTATCGAATCAACTGGGAGACAGAAACCCAAAATGCGGGTGATAAGGGTATATTGCTACATAAGTAAGGGAAGTTGACGATTGAAACATTGAAGTCTTCACGTTTATCATAAAGCTTTTTTCTTCGGTTACCATTTAAGTTTTTTTCTAGATAAATATCTAAATATGAAACAGATGTGTCAGAATTTTTGGTATCTGTAACTTCAATCTCATTTTGATATATTGAGTCGACATATGAATGGAAGTAACTATTTTTAATTGATGATTTGTTTTAGGGAACCTAAGGATGGAGGGGTTTTCTTTTAAATTTTGGACAACAATTCTTGTATCATCCACTACTTGCCCTTGTCTTTTAATGCACGTGGATTAAGGGACTCTTAAAATGCGAATCTCTCTCGGATCACACTTTTCCAATACTAAGGGCGTTGGATGAAGCAACTTCTAGATTATGGATATCCATGATCCTCTGTTTTAGGCCATGTGTAATATTATTTAATTGTCGACTCCTTATATCTAATTTATCAAATCATGGGGGAATGGGGATTTTTTTTTTAACTTTCCAAATATGAGGATTTTTTTTGTAAACCTGCTAGTCTTTAGAGAAAAACTCAGAATATTTGCCAACTCCGGCCGCAACTGACCCAAGTCGATAAAAAAAAAAAAATAGATAGTAACTGTTCCTTCGTTAAGCACTCTGCACTTTAAAGTGAAAGTTCATTGCGGGTCTCTCGGATGAGACCTTAAAAACGACAGGCATTGACACGATAAAGATCAGTGCTCAATGGTCCTGAGTACCGAGAAAAGTACCTAGAAAAGTATAAATTTGAAGCCTTTCACATGTACATGGTGAAGTCTCAATCTCTTCCAATGCATGCATGTCTTAAATTTCTATCCAAAATATAGCAGTTGCTATGATAACAAAAATCCCCCCAAAAATCAATGAAACAAAAAAGAAGAGACAAAAAACCATAAAGAAAATGATAGATCCACAAATGCCTCGATATTTACTTAAAATGCAATTTTAAAACTATAACTTCAACAATTAAACAATTAATTTATTTAAATTTATGGGATTTACAACTTCAATCAGGCAGAACTGTCAGATATACATTCAGGGATTCTTCGTTTATTTTATTGTTTACGTCAGCGCTGTCTAGATAGTTTTCACTAGGAGAAATGGTTGGAGATGTGTAAGGACTAGAACACAATTCTTCCCCAACATCATCGCTCATTCCACAAGCCTCAGAGTTTGGTAACATATAACCATCATTATCGTGCGAGGGACTCCTTTTCTTGAGATCCAGTTTACCATGCTGTGAAGATGGACTTGATATATACCTAGACCCTGTCACACAGATAGGTGGATTTACAGAGGATGTTTGTTCATCATCTTTAACCTCTGAATAATCATTAACGCTCTCTATCTGGTAGGTAGAATTTTCTATCACACTGCTCTGAACTACAGTTACGAGTTCCAGGCTGTGTTCTGGTTGGCTTTTCTTTGAAGGTCTGTTATGACCTAAAGGATCATATCCCATAATGTTTCCTTCTGTACCAAAGTCATTTATCTCTTGGTAGGTCTCAATTATCTCAACACTCGCTTTATGTGGTATTTTAGACTTTCTTCGTTTTGAACACTTCTCGTGTATATGTATGCTGACGTAAATTGTGAAGATGATGAGGAAAAGCGAAGAGACACCGAAGATACCCAATAAAACAGGATAATAGGAATCAAAAAAGGAAGGTGTTGCTGTCGTTGAAGCTAAAAATGATATAATTGTGGATTTTTGGAAAGAAGTAGATTTCTGAGCTTCAAGGGTGTTAAATTTGCTTGATGAATACGTTGTGGCTTTTGAAGCAGTGCTTGTTTGTTTGGGAACTGTAGACAAACTTCCTCCTCGTGAAGCTAAGATTGTTGTTGTTTTTGTTGACTCTGTTGACTCTACTTAACAGAAAGGGAAATGTTTTATGGCTTCCATATGCTTTTATATCATAACTTCCTAAAAAATCACAATTTACAAAAATGTGTAAATCAAGAGGAATTAAATCTTTTAAAAAGGTATTTTGTTGTATTATCAAATGATGTTCAATCTTTTATTTGCATCTCATGGTACACTGATTACAGGTAATAAAGAATCAGGTTCACAAATCTTTTATGAATGCTAAAAAGTATTATGTCAATTGTTTTGGTACCTGTGTATATTGGACAACCTGTGGAAACGTCACATAAGCTCTCATCACATTCGGAACATTTCTTTTGGCACCCATAGCCATAAAAGGGCTTTACACATGATTTCGAGCAATTCAATCCGTAATAGCCTGGTCTACATTCTGTGAAAATGGTTGATAATCAAATTTTATTCATGATATTTCCTTTATACTCATAAAAAGATCCACAGCTTAAACTTTTCCTAGCATTTCATTGGATCTAGAATATATTTTTCCCCATTTTACACATATATCATTCTAAATGGATAAAAATATGGTTTCGTTCTGTACCCGAATTTTAACACTTTTACATTGGTAACTTTGTCACATTCAAGAATGATAGACAATTAAACTGTAATATATTTAGGTATTTATCAAATAAAAAAGTGAAGATAACGAACAGTGTTCGATCTAAGAAAATCTACAGTCAATACGAACAGGGCATAAAACACGGACCACCCGAAATTTCACAGATGGGATCAGGTGCCTAGGAGGAGAAAGCATCCCCTGTTGACCGGCTACTTACCGACACATTTGCCCATTTTAGCATTCCATTCAAACTCTGCAGGACATTCTCGTTCCCTGTCAATTCAATTTATAAGATTTAAGATTATACTTAGCCATTCTATAGAACAAAATGATTTTAAATAAAAAATTATGTTTATTCCATAAGACAAAGTCTTTAAAGAAAAAAGAAGAATATCTATTTCTGAACGTTTTAAAAGAAAATTAATCATAGGAACAAAAAAGGCTTTCTTGGAAATCAGAAAAAAATGAAACTTACCTTTTCTTTCTCTCTGGCATTTCGACTAAGAGATAGTAAAACAAACTGAAATATGAATTCTGAAACTGAAATATGGATCAACAATTTCCTTTATCATAACAAGAAAAGTATTAGAAAATCTTGTTAGTAACTGCAAAAAATGTTGCTATGAACTTTGCTCAAACCCAATTTAAAAGAAACTGATATATTTTTTAAAAGGACCACAAAAATATTTTAAGTAATACTGCGAGAGGAAATCAAACCTATTCTAGCTGATGTGCGCTTTCGTTAGGCAACGGAAACAAGTTGATAATTCTCAATGGAATGCTGTACATTCATTGTACAAGGAAATTAGATTTGAAACAATAAATAAATTATAAATGCAAAAGCATTTAAATGGTTTTTAACTACAGTGTATTCATAATATCTATGTTTATCAGGAGACATAAAACACAAATAAAAATGTAATATTCTGAATTTATTTGCAGATATAACAAATTGACTGTGAATTTTGGCTACTGTTTTTTTTTGCTATGTAGTCTTTCTTACCTGAAAATACTACTCCCTTATCAATTTCTGTCCGATTTCAATAATACTCGTTGAACAGGAGACAACATTAATTTTGTATAATTATGTTTTTAATTAAATTCGAGTAACATTTATGTCATGGTTACTTTATAAATAAATCCTGTGAAACTCTTTTAAAACGCTCCTTTGAGTCCAATTTCATTAAAATGGTAAATCTGTAGACTACACAAAGATACATAGTTTTTTAATAATATAAACCTATTTATGAGCTATGAGTTCAATAGCAAGTTTATTGACCCCCCCCCCCCCCCCGCCCCGACAGCAACTTTTTCCCGCAGCTGCGCTATGGGAAATAGTTGCTGTCCAGGGAGACAATTAACCTTGCTATTGTCCGAATAGTCATGAAATAGGCGTTTTATCATACCGAAGCAGACATTAATTACGTCACCTCAAGATCGGAATAAAACCAGAATAGTTCTAAGACGAAACGCCAGGGAAATGGAATGCTGCCGGTAAATAGTTCGATGACTATTTCACCACGGGCAAATAGCACAAAAAACTATTCCACGGTGGGGCTTGTTTAGAAAATTTAGCATGTTTATTCCTTATATTCTTATTAAGGACCCTCTATACACTGATGAAAAATGTTTTTGGGACTTTGAGAAAATTATTTTGCATAAAGGAGGATATTTTGAAATTAACTAACTTATTTTTAATATAGGGAGCGTGCCTTTTTTATTCAGGAAAAATCTTCAAAGACAATGGAGTAATAGAAAAGAAAAATTGCCTTCACTTACTCAAATGGATAAAATACATGCAAATAAAGTTTTCAAATACTCTATCTTGGTCTAATATAATGTTTAGAATACTAAGATTTATTTCAAATTAAATGATTTAGTTCAGATTACTATTTATTCTACTTGTATGTCAAATGGTAGTTCAGTCTAATTACACAAAAGTACCCTGAAAATAGAGTGCAGTGTAGAGAGGGTCCTTAAGAAAAAAAATCACAGAGGTATGATAATATTGGTTTTCAGTTTCAACTTTTTTGTGTTCGCATGGTAAATAAAAAATATTTGTTAAACCATTGATTAAGTGAAGCCTACATGATTGAACATGCATTTATGCTTCCCATCACATTTCGTTTTTGTGCAGTTTCCTCCATGGTTAAATTTTCAGATCTGGAGAAGCCTGAAATTTTGTTCAGATATTGTAGAACAGGTTTTAGCACTTTCATTTCCTTTATTGCAAAAAATTCATCACAAAAAGTAAAGCTTTAGTGTCATTTCTATTGATTAAATTATGCATTTTGTTTGCAAATGTCGTCCTGCTTTCTTTTAAAGACATCTATGACACATATTTTTGAGATCGATCACTGTTCGTTATCTTCACCTATTTCATATGCTTATTTATAACCTCGATAAGAGAACCTTGTCGCTTATGTGAGCCAAAAGCTTAACGATTAAAGTTTCTCTGCCCGTCGGTCTCTTTGTTAGATGCATTTTCGTCTTCTTCTCCAGATACAGTGAGTCAATTTTAACAAAACTTGACATGACGTTCTTGAGAAATGTGGATTAAAGTGCTTTGTTTTTTTTTCAAATGAAGAGCCGAGCCCTTCTCAAGAAGACTTTGTCATTCAAAAAACCCCTCTAAACCCACTAAGCCATAAAAGCAAAATTTCAGCGAAAGTGAAAACATTTTTTATTATTAATTGTAAATTCAATTTTTTTTCAAATTATGACTATGGTGGGGCTACAAAAACGGCTGAAAGTTTAACAGAGGAAAACACCGGTAAAATCTTTCAAGAACAAAGAAAAAATAGTCATATTGATATACGAGCACCCTTCCCTATGTTTTTGAAAATACAAATCTCTGCAAAGCAATGTCTGTAAACAACTATAGGGTTCAAAGTTCGATATTGGAGAATATAGGAAACATCACGAAGACTTTTCTAAAAAAAAAAAAAGGTGGTACAAGTATATACGTAGGGTGGGCCACAAAATTGGGTCAAACTACAGCATAGGAATCAGAAGGAAAAGTCTATAATAACATTTCCTATCAAGAACACTATGACCGAGTTCGGAAATAGCAAAAGTTCACAGTAGTTGATGATAAAGACTTTCTTAATACCAAATGAACAATTGAGAGGTCTGTAAAGCTCTTTATATTCTAAGGACGCTAAAAATTTTGAATCAACCCGTCGCTTCCTTAAGCTTAAATTTGCCTACAAAGCTATAGCTGTTGTTAACATTAGCAACTTCTTAGACAAAAAAGTTCAGCCTTGTATTCCATAATTTTTTAAGCTGGTCTACACCTTGCACTTCCTACAGATATTCCTCAACTGTCGCATACACACTTTTCAATTACAAACAAACTGTTTAGAGCCTAGATATTAACCATCTAAAACAAAATCCTTAAAGTGTTCTTGTACGTTCTCGCCTTTGATCTATAGTCCAGTATGACACATCATTACTGGTGATGTAAATTTAATTCAACATGACACCAAAAAGTCTACCACATCTGCTTCATACTTGGATATTTTACTGACTAGAAGCATCAATAGCCACTAACAAGTGAAGTATTTGACAAGTTTCCCTATTTATGTACAGTAAAACCCGGTTATAGCGAGGTCCTGGGGATTTGTGAACTTCACTGTATCCGTAATTATTATATCCGTATAACGAATTCGATAAATTATATACATGTACAATAAATTCGAAATACGCATATTTTCCTTCAAGTATGACTACTTAATATTTCCAGGAAAATATTTTAATTTCAAAAATTATCTAGAAATGAAAACTTAAGATGAATTTAATTTCCAACATAAATCATTCGATAAACATTGTCAGTGCAATACTTTAATTTTTTTGATATAAAAAATCATTTCATAAGATGAACATCTTTTGATTTACTATAGTGATACCGGTCGTTCGGATGAGACCGATAACCGTGGTCCCGTGTCGCAGTAGGTGCTGGCACGAAAAAGATTCCTCACTGCTCAATTGCCCTAAGTGACGAGTATATGGCAAAATTTGCAGCTCTCCACTGGCAAGTTAAGGCTTCTCCATATGAGTGAAAAATTCTCGAGAGGGACGATAAACAATAAACAAACAAACAAAACTATAGTGATAATTATGAAAACTTTGATATACTATATTGATCACTATGACACTAAAGTGATAACTTTGAAATACTTTAGTGATAACTATGAAAACTTTGATTTACTATGGTTGTCAATCAATATGGGGATCAGGTGCTTAGGAGTACTAAGAGTACTAAGCATCCCCTATTCCGTAGTCAAATTTAGCATAAAAACAAAGACCTAACAGTTGGCATGAAACGCGTCAGTCAAAATAAGACCCTTTATAGCTTATATTTATTAAGAAGTCGTTATAACAGCAAAGAATTAACAAAATGCTGACTTGAAAGAGGTCATTGAAATCCCTGTAACAGATCTTGTCTGTCAGTAGTCTGCCTCGGTTAAAAATTGATCGTACTCAGAGTATGCTCATGAGTATCGAATACGTTGGGAGACGTAAACACCATATACAGGTTATAGCGGAATACTACTACGCAAATAGAAAAAGTTGGCGATGATAAACCCGGTCATTTCGTTTCTCATACAATTTAGCTATTAGTTGGTCCTAATCGTCTATAGTCAGTAAAACATCCAAATATGAAACAGATGTGGCTGACTCTGTGGTGTCTTTTATTTCAAGTTCAGGGGGATATATCGAGTTGACATATAAATGGAAGTAACTATTGATAACTGATACAACGTCGTCGCTATATCTGGATGTCGAGTTGAAGGCCACAGCATGTGTTTTCTTCTCATGGAAAGTTTTTGTATAAATTCTGCTTCATATATAGGAATATAAAAACAGGTCGGCTAATAAAGAAGCACAATCATAATTATGCACAACAAACGTTTTTAGCCCAAAGTATATGAGCTTGTTTTTAGAGTGATTACTGTTCTGTAATTAACTACAGGTACCAATATCCCATGTCCATATTACCAATATCCCATGTCCATATTACCAATATCCCATGTCCAGATTACCAATATCCCATGTCCATATTACGTAATGAATTGCGTAATGGGCTGCAAGGTCTTGGTGCTCAGTGGTCACATGAGCCCTGAATTAATCCGCATCCAATATCACTCACTAATTTCATTCCTTTGTTTATAAGCTTGATATTCATATTTGTATTTTTTCATTAATCTAAGTTGGATATTAGTGTTCGCTAATATCATCAACAGTAGAGGAAAAAATTGCAGGAGTACTGTACAAAAATATATTCGAACAGTAGTGTAAATCGGATGTGGATACTAAAAAAACTGCAAGGAACTTTGTAGAAAATTTGAAATCACAAAATTTTGCTAAAATTAATAACACGTACAACTTTTCAATACTTTAAGGTCATATGATTAAAAAAATGGATGCCTGAATTGATATATATTTTTGGACCTACTTTGATTGTTAATGATGCAAATATTAGATTTCTAAAATACGTATATTAAAAAATTGTAAACTTTCTATGATGTTCAAAATTCTATCTATATGTCTTCACCCTTGTAAATCTATGTAACTTTTTACTT